TTGCTTCATTTTATTTAAAGGCAAAGCGGATTGCTGCATTGGCAGTATCTTTACTGATCTGCTGTATTAAATTAGGTTTGTTAGTTTGGGTTTGCCTCATTGTATTCTAAAGCAAAGCGAAGTGCAACGCTGCATTTTCAGTATCTTTACCCGCACATGCCGGCCGGTGCACGGCGCCCGCAATATTACGAATAGGCAACCAACATCACAGCCGGCGCGGATGGGCATTTTCAGCCAGAGGGGATCACACGAGCGGCCCGGCGCAGATGGCCGGTCCGCGCGAACCCCGGCAGCGGCGCCGGCATTTACTCCCGGCCCCCTAACTCCCCCAGGTACACGCGGCGCAGATGACCATCGGCCGTTTGAAATGATGACGAAGTCATCTCTCCAGACAGTTTACGGCAAATTGTTCCCGGATTCAATCAATTTTCACACAAAATTTCCATTTTGATGTGTTGGTACACGAAATGTTCTAGCGGGGTTCTGTGGGCGTCAGCTGGCATTTCAAAGGTATTGTTACAGTTTAAAAGGAAATTGGAGAAAGTGGAGATTTAATTAACAAGAAAAATAAGAATAGGGCAAAAGAATAATGTAAAAGGGACGATGTCACCAAACAACCTACATTCAAGTAATCATGTTTGGGTTCAGGCAGAAAACTGTTAAAATACAAACAATTTTTATCTTTGTTCTGTCATTACTGTGAAGTTTGTCAAAGTGGCTATTCATTCTCTTTGTTAGAAATTAGTAGAATTTCATATAGCATTTGATTTTGAACTTCTTCAGTCGTTAATCAAAATGACAGGTAGAAAACGATAAATTGAGATGAAGGCATTGGGGCAGATTGAATAGTGACATTTTGTTTTGAGTTATGTCGCGTCTAATCACTTGATGGAGGTTTTAACCAGATTCAAATTCATGGCAGTTGAATTCATTTAGTAAAAATTGTCCTTCTACCCAGCCAGAAATGCATCGTCGAAATTTGGTCGATTTCATCGATCGACGCGAAATCGACGTCGATTCGATGGGTTCTTGTGAGCTAAATCGACGAATTGTCGACTTTGACGTCGATTCGACGTCGATTCGACGTCGGTTCGACGTCGGTTCGACGTCGGTTCGACGTCGGTTCGATGTCGGTTCGACGTCGGTTCGACGTCGTTTCAAGTTTACATTTCTGGCTGGGCTACGCAGGAACAAGCTGACAGTTGACATTCAAACTGTTTCGTCGTTATGTTATTGTTGTTATTTTTTTTTATAATGCCGATCAATAACATCTAGCTTCAGTGTGGATTCATAGTTGACAAAACGCAACCGTGATTTTCACGCTAGGCGTTATTTTCACGCTCCGTAAGCCTAACGCAGCCAATCAGGAACCGACTTTCATCACGCTGGGCGTGAAAATCATGCCGGGCGTGAGAATTGCGATTGTGTTTAGGGAACTCTGAATCCATCTTTAAGTAATCCAATTATAATCATAATAAATTTTAATAGCCTTATTTTTGTGAAGAATTTTCAGGAAT